CTCCCAAGCCCCAGGTGCCATCTTCCTTCTCTTTGCAGACTTCACTCCAGTCAACAGGTCATCCCTGGTAAGAGCCTGGTGCTGACCACAGGATCTGGTCCGGAGAAGGGCCACGCCCTAAACACTTGAATGATGCCTGTATCACCACTGCGGCTTCCAACTCCTGCACCGTCTTCCCCCTGCATGAGCCCCACAGGTGTCTGCATGTTCACCTTCCAAGTAGCCACGTGCTTGGCCAAGGATGCTGGATCTTTGACGTCTAAGAACCAGACGTGAGACCTCTATTGCCCTCTTGCTGTGGACCAAGGTAGGGAGGAGCACACAATCTGAGCCTGCCAAAGTGACTGAGAGCAAGCCTGAGGGACTCATGAGAAGCAGTTCCTTGCCCCTTGTTGCTCACTCGGTAAGTCGTGTCCAACTCTTTGCGACCCCATGAACTGCAGCACATCACGCTTCCCTCTCCTTCACCATCTCCTGGAGTTTGCTCAAAGTCATGTCCAGTGATTCTATGATGCCATCCAACTATCTCATCCTGTCACCCCCCCTTGCCTCCTGTTCTCAACCCTTCCCAGCATCAGGGTCTTTTCCAATGAGTCAGCTCTTCAAATTAGGTGGCCAAAATATTGGAACTTCAGCTTCAGCATCAGTGCGTCCATTGAATAGGGTTGATTTCCTTTAGGATTGACTGGTTTGATTACCTTGCAGTCCAAGGGACACTCAAGAGTCTCCTTTAGCATCACAATTTGAAAGCATCAGTTCTTCGGCACACAGCCTTCTTTATGGTTCAACTCTCACAGCCATACATGACTACTGGAAAAACCATAGCTTTGACTAGATGGACCCGTCAGCAAAGTGATGTCTTTGCTTTTTAATACACTGTCTAGGTTGGTCATAGCTTTCCTTCCAAGGAGTGTCTTTTAATTTCATGGCTGCATTCACCATCTGCAGTGGTTTTGGAACCCAAGAAAATAACATCTGTCACTGTTTCCACTTTTCCCCCATCTATTAGCCATGAAGTGATGGGAATGGATGCCATGATCTTTGTTTTTTGTTGAGTTTTAAGCCAGCTTTTTCACTTCTCCTCTTTCACCCTCACGGGAGGCTCTTTAGTTCCTTTGCTCTCTGCCATTAGAGTGGTAAAATCTTCCTTCTGAGGTTGTTGATACATCTGGAAATCCTGAGTCCAGCTTGTGATTCATCCTGCCCTGCATTTCATATGATATGCTCTGCATATAACTTAAATAAGCAAGGTGACAATCAGTATACATCTTTGTCATACTCCTTTCTCAATTTTGAACCTGGCTCATAGATACATGGGAAGGTTCTTTTCTGCTTCTTTGCTTGGCTGCATGAGGAGGTAAAGGCTGGAAGACCCCCTAGCCATCTTGCCATCACAAGGGGTGCTGCCGTCCCAGACCAGCAGTGTTGGGTGAAGAGAGGCTGAACCTGGGTAAATTCAGAGTTCACTTGGACTTTACCAAGCCTGGACCTGCCCTACCAACCCTCTTACGTGGAATGATGGGCTCCTGCCTGATGAAGATAGCTGAGGGGGAGTCCTGAGTTCCAGGTGAAATCGACCATACTCAATGTGAATGAATTAGAAGCACTTCATATATTGGACCCCAGATTTATTTATTTTTGGCTGTGCTGGCTCTTCATTGCTGTATGGGCTTTTCTCCATTTGCAGCAAGCAGGGACTCCTCTCTAGTTTCAGTGCATGGGCTTCTCATTGCAGTGGCCTTTCTCGTTGTGGAGCACAGGTTCTGGGGCTCTAGGGCACTTGGACTTCAGTAGTTGCAACTCCTGGGCTATAGAGCAGTCTTAATAATTTGTGGTGCATGGGCTTAGCTGCTCCTTGGCGTGTGGGATTTTCCTGGATTGGGGATTGAACCGGTATCTCCTGGGTTGACAGGCAGAGTCTTTACCACTGAGCCACCAGGAAGCCCCCCAAAGTTTGATTTTAGCTGAGTAAGACTCATGTCACACTTCTGACTCCCAGAACTGTAAGGTATCAAGTTCCTGTTTTTTTTTTCTTTCACCAAGTTTCTGATTTAAACCACTTGGCTTGTATAATTTATACTGCAGTCATGAAAAACTAAGAGAGGCCCATCAAAGCACAGAAACCAAATTAAGTCCTAAGAAAACGTGGCTACCCTCCAGGCCAAGTCCTGCTCCCATCTCTCCCTAGCAAAGCATGGATTTCTCAGGGCAGACCCCAGGTTAGCAAGAGAGGAGTGTCTGAGCCCACTAAAGTCCACAGTTGTGGAGGCTGCAAGTCCAAGGTGAAGTGGCAGCTGATTCAGTGCTGGGCGAAGACCCTTTTGCCGGATGGCTGTCTTCACACCACACCTTCACACAATGGAAAGGGTGAGGATCCTCTGTGGCGTTTCCTTTAAAACGGCACTAATCCCTTTCACAAAGGCTTCATCCTCCCGACCTCATCACTTCCCAAAGGCCCCACCTCCAAACCCTGTTGTCTTGGGCGAACAGGTTTCCACAGGAGAATTTTGAGGTGACACAAACGTTCAATCTACAGCAGTTAGGGCCCCTGTTTAAGCCAGCCCCATGGTCCTGAGGTCATCCCTGGCCTCTTCCGTGATCCGCGTGGGTCAGCAGTGTCCGGAGCTGGAGCTGGGGGAAACAGTCTGTCTGGAGGTGCCATCCCCACAGCATCACTGTGAACGCCACCCTGGGGCTGACTAGGCACTGAGGACCGACCCTGGTTTCAAGGCTGCGCCCCCCCACCTCCTTGTCATTTCTGGGGCAAGGGGAGCTGGGGGCAGCACAGAGAGACAAGATCCGTAGATTAGTTGTTTTGTTTTTTTTTTAAAATAACTGCATCCTTTAATGGCAGTAATACAATTATTGGATTAAGAGACCACAGGAGAAAGGACAGGTGGTGTTTCTGGAAGACAGATATGGAGTACAAAAAGGGGTGGAATAGAGTCATGCGACGATCATTGTAAAAATACAGTACGTTATATACATATTTGCACCGTCAACTTTCAACTCTGAAATAGTATTTACACTTTTGTTACAATCCTGGTTAGAGAACAATTTATTTTTTTTCTTTAAAAGCTCGGCCTGATGGCAAATGAAAATTTTGGGTGAATTCATAGTCCCATGAGGTTCTTAGGCTGAATATTCCAAGAGGCGCGTTCCAGCTTCTATTTCATCCACAGATTACAGTTTTAAAAAAGTATTTCATTTTGCTTCTACAAAAGAAAATTCTCAAAGGAAGGAAAAAAAACCAAACAACCCAACACCCAACCACAGCCACACTGTGTATTCTTTCTTATATTACAAACACCAGGGGCTGCAGCCCTCTGCTTCGAGGCCAACACTGGTGGCTGAAGAAAAATCTCATTAATGATTGTTTAAAAAAAAAAAATAGAAAAAGACACAAAGACAAACCAAACCACCCTGATCATGGCACACTGACCCTCTGGGGGTGCCTCCCCGGCCCTTGCTTCTGGCACCAAACTCTATGACTATTCCTTTTCTGGGGGAAGGGGAGTGGGACCTTCTTTAACCTCCCACCCCAAGGAGGTGGGGGGGGTGACCCTCTGGCTGGCTGGGACACCAGGCTTCCTCATCAGCAGCAGGAAGAGTCAGGGCCCTTAAGCAAGGTTGCCGAGATGGCAGGATGAGGAGAGAGGCAGCAGACAGCGGGTGGGTGTGGACACACAGGCCGTGCTCAGCTCCCCTGAGGTCACGGCGTGGGCCTCCTGTGGGCTCTGTGGCCAGGACGGGAGCTCAGCCAGGGTCCTGGGGGTGCTGGGAGCCCAGGGCAGCCCTGTCGGCTCCCTTCCCGGCTCAGCCGGAGGGATGAGAGCAGGACGCAGGCTGTGGGGTCCTTGCCCCGCTCACAGCGGGGGTCGGGTCACCCTCTTGGCCCTGGCCAGCTCCCCCACCGTGTCCTCAGGCCCCCTTCCTGGACGTGGCCATAAAGCCAACACTGCATGTGCCCTGAACCCACACCCCCTTCAGCCTGGAAGAAAACCAAACACACCGAAACCACGGGCGCTGAAGGTACGCTGAGGGGGTGTGGCGAGAGGGCGACACTTTGCCGACCGCCACCCGGGCTGCCCCTGTTGGGGGCGTGGTGGCACGGCCATGCCACGGATCCTTGAGCTGTCCCCAGAGGGGCCGGGGCCCAGGATAGAGCCCGGCACGCGGGAAGAAAGGCATGGCCACGACAGGACAGGGGCTAATACTGACGGAAAGCACGCGGTCTGAGGGGCCACCCCCACACCAGCCGACTCCAGGTCCATCTCTCACCCCGGGAGTCTTCTGCCGCAGGCTGGAGGGTGCGGGTTCACGGGTGAACTTTGGACGGAGGGGGGCGGGGATGGGGGGGACCCTGCGGGTGAATCCAGACGAGATAGCAGTGGGAAAGGACTTTGTTTCTCCTGGCCCAGGCAGCTTCCAAAGGCTCTTCTTTTCTTTCTTGACACCTCCTCGCTTCCACTGGCCCCTGAAGTGGGTCATCATGGCCTGCACGCTGCAGAGGAGACGCAGAAATGCCTAGACCTGCTTCCACGCGGGGCCTGCCCACCGTTTCGGCTCCAGCTCTTCTTGCTCATGCAACACTTGATGCCTTCTTGACGCCTGCTGCTCCCTTCGTCCTGGGGGGTGGGGTGGGGCGGGGTGGGGCAAGAGGAGGAGGAGGGGCCCAGCTTTGCCCAGAAAACCCACCAGACCCCCAGCCACCAGACTGGGGCCCCAGCCTTTAAGGGAGTCCCGGAAAATCTGGCCCGGCCAGGCCAGGCAGAGTGCCAGCTGGGCTGAGGCCCAGGGGACTCGCCACTGTTCACATGCACATGGGGGTTTTGTCGGTGGGCACCCAACAGCCCTGCAGCACTGACTGGAAAGTTAGAGATGGTTATATACAATTCATGTGTTACACAGAAGATACTACTTAAAAAAGAGAGAGAGAGAGAGAGAGAGAGAGGAAAAAACAGAATAGGAAGAAAGAAAAAACACCCAACCCCCTCCCCCCTCCCCCCAAGCCCCAACTCTGGTCGCTGCCCTTAAATATTGCCCTGGGAAGGGTGGGGTGCGGGGAGCGCTGGACTCCGGCTTAACACTACTGGCAGAAGGGGGAGGCGGTGGGGTCGAAGCCTTTAAACACATCTTTCAGGGACCCAGCGTCCTGCTCACCCTCTTGGGCTGGGCTGTTGCCAGCAAATGGGCTTCCGGAGCCCGTCTTGGGTGCCGGTTTCACGGTCCCGAAGAGGGTGGGCACGGGCAGGTTGTGCACGCCGGGCTGGGGTAGGCTGCCCTCTGCTGATGGGGCACCCACGGCGGCAGCGGGGGCCGCAGTGGCCGCGGTGGCCTTAGGCCGGGGCCGATTGTAACTGTTGTATCTGTCCGTGGCCGTGGCCCCATCGGCCCCGGGCTTCCCGGACTCGGGCTGTTCCAGGGCGGACTTGCGGACAAATGGGGGCTCCTTGGCCTTGGCGGCAGCGGAGCTCCTGCCGTTGCCCTCAGGGCCCTTGGGCTGGGTGCCCGCGTCGGCGGCAGACTCCGCAGCTTTTCCCCCCGCGTTGGGAGTCCTGGGGTCGTAGAGGCTAATGCCGCTCAGCACGCTGCTCTGGCCGCCCCCGCCACCCTGGCCCAGGCCGCCGGCTGCCAGCACGCGGGGGTCGTAGGGGGCGGTGGCCGGCGGGGAAGACTCCCCGCTGGGGCTGGCGGCTGGAGAGGGGACCTCGGCGGGGCCAGGTTTGGCTGCCCGCGAGGAGGCAGTGGCGGAGTCTGTGGGTTTCTGCAGCCGGGGGTCGGTGGGTGTCTTCCGCACTCGGGGGTCACTGGGCTTGTCGCTGGAGCCAGGGGTGGCCAAGGGGCCGGTGACGTTGACAGTCTTGAGGATGCGAGAGAGGAGCTCAAAGTCAGGCAGGCTGGAGCCAGCCGCGCCGGCATCTGCGGAGTTGCCTGCACGCTGCCGGGGATTGGGGGGCCCCGAGGTGGCGGCACGGTGCAGCCTGGGATCCAGCGCCGGCAGAGACTGCAGGGCGGCAGGCACGGGGGGCGCCGCCTCCTGCTTGGGCAGGGGCAGCGGAATCAGGTCCTCGGGGCTCCAGAGCACAGTGCGGGCGAAGCTGGGCCGGCTCAGGGTCACGGCCTTCTTGATGTGGCTGAACTGCTGCAGCTGTGACCGCGGGTCCCGCAGCGGGTGCCCAGGGAGCGGCTCCAAGGGAATGTTGACGGCCTTCTCCCGAAGGGCCCGCTCCCCTTCCTCTTCTTCCGCCGGGGGTGGCCCAGACCCCTTGGAGCCCCCGGGACCGGCAGGGCTGGAATGCAAGCCGCCGTCGGGCTTGGAGCTGGGTAGGGAGCGAGCCAGTCGCGGGTCAGAGGGTCCGGTGTCACCTGGGCCTGACCCACTGGAAGCCTCAGCGTGGCGGGAGAGCCTGGGGTCCCGGCTGAGGCGGGGGTCAGCCAGTCGGCCTCCCGTGGGGTGTCCCTTCTGGAGGCGGGGGTCCCCCAGCCCACTGCTGCTCAGCTCCCCAACAGAAGCCTGGGGCCGGCTGGACGTCTGCTGCCTCAGCGTCTTCAGGATGGAGGTGACACTGCTCCCACCTTCATCCTCGTCGCTTGAGTACCAGTTTCCAGTGTCACCTGCGAGCAAGCAGACAGCAGCAGGGAGACGGTAAGTGGTCACCACACCTGCCACCAGCCCTCTTGGATCCCCTGGTAGCCTGCTCCCCACCTCTTCTCTCTCAGAACCTCTATTTCTCTCGCGTAAAACACCCACTGCTCACCTTCCCCACCACCACAGAATGGCACGAAGAGCCAGGGAGCGCAGGCGGGCCAAGCATGGAGCCTGGCAGGTCTCTGGCTATCGTGGATGGACCCTTCCCTGTATACCGGCACCGAGCTAAGGGCTTTGCCTTATTTACCACAACCACCCAGGATACAGCGCTGTCACCATGCCCATTTGACAGATGAGAAAACAGAGGCACTGACACAGCGCCCCGAGGTCAGGGACAAAGCCAGGCCTAAGCTCAGACTCCGAGCCCCAGGCTCCAGTGCTGCCTCCTCACCTCCTGGGCAGACTCAGACCCCCCCCACGGCAGGCCCAGCTCCGAGCGCCTGTGAGCAGCGGCCGCTGCCTGGGCTCTCACTGAGCTTGGGCTCCCAGATCCGTGCCTACCAGACCCCTCACAGTGCTCCCGCGCCCCAGGGCAGGCAGTCACCATCTGGTAAGAGGCGGGGCCAGGTGGGCAAACGCAGAAGCTGGCCCATGTCCAACCTCCTCAGCAGCTGCAGTCGGAGACCTCGGGGAGGGGACTGTCCCCTGTTCTCACTGCCCCACTTGCTCCCCAGCTCCTGGCTGCAGGCTCTAGATGCCTTCTCTGTCTGCCCCATTCCCCCCACGGGGGATGCCATCAGGGTGCCACTCGGTACCACAAGACCCAGCAGCTGAGGCTGGGACTGTTACTGGTCTGTGTCAGAGACTGGCTTTCACCTCTGGGCTTCCCGAGGACACGGTCTGAGGAGCGGGGGCTGAGCGTCTCCCTCCAGCCTCCTCCACGAGGGTGCGGTCTCCTCCAGGGACCAGCCCACTGCCCTCCTCCACGGGACCAGGGTCTTGCCCTTCTCCGCAGGGGTCCTCCCGGCCACAGGCTCCTGTCCAACGCAGACCTCGGACCTAGGCACGCCCAACCGCTCCCCGCAGGGCGGCCAGGGCCCATGGGGGGAGCCCTGCCCCGGGGGAGGACACGTGCCTTCCTCATTCTCCCGGTCCTGCTTGCTGCTCTCAGCCAGCCTCCTCGCTCTCTCCTCCTCCTGCTGCTTCTGCTGGATCCTCAGGTACAGGGCCCTCTGGGCCGAGGGCAGGAAGTCAGGGACACCGGCGCCTGGCTTCGGCCGGCCTGGGGGCCCTCCCTCAGAGAAGCTGTCTGGCTCCAGAGGGTGCTCGGGGAAGAGGTGCTCCCCAGGCTCCCCCGGCAGCTCTTCGTAGTGCCCGTAGTCCTCTGTGGCAGGGAAGAACCGAGCGTTCATGTCGGGAAGGGCCGTGCGGCACCAACTCCGACCCACCCGTGCCCTCACCTGGAAAACCACCCCTGATGGCGATGGGTGACAATGCACAGCCTACGCCCTCCTACCCTTCCCAGGAGGGGCCCTAGCTGTAGGGGACGGAGCAGCCAAAGGGGGAGGGGGGTCCCAACTAGGATGCAGCCACTGAGAATGGGGTTCACGGTGAGGTTTAGTGACATGGGCAAATGCTCATGAGGTGAGAACAGGACGGAACGGCGAACGAATGTTTATAAAACGCAAAGAAAAGGCTTTGAAAAGACAGACAGAGAACAGGCCCTCTGGGAATGAGAGCAGGGGAAATGAGATTGGGGGAGGGAGTTGAGGCATCGTTCCCTTTTTTACTCCACACATTTCCCATCTGTTTTAAATACTTCTGATGAACATTAATCTTACAGTCTCTTTAAATAAAAAACTAAAGAAATAAAAACACTCAATCTCACAGTAAGCTCATAATATGAGTTCAATCACGGTAAACAAAGACCCATAAAGAAAAGAAGAAAATACACCAAAATGTTGCTATGGCTACAAGTCCACCCAGAGGCTCCCGACGATTCCTTCTCCTTCCACAAATGTTTCTGGGCAGCTGCTACGTTTAAGGGGATGCGGCAGGTGGGGGTGTTTCTCTAGCACAGCATCTAGGAAGCACCAGGCGGAAGGGCTTGCCATCTCTCCTGAAGGGTGGGCAGCGTCCAGTACCAGCCGCCTCCCTTCGCAAATGCTAAGGGTAGAGCCAAGGATGAGGGGAACAGCTTTGGGAGGTCTGTCACGAAGCGCCTAGAGGCTGTGTATGTGTGTTGGAGACAGAGTCCAATGAGCACTGCCCACAGGCCATTCTGCAATTATGAAATAGCCCCGATTTACACCTCGCGTGCAGCGACCCTACTGAGCAGCTGAAATGTGGCCAGCTCTACCAAGAAAGTGAGTCCGTAATTTAAACTAAAGTTACAAGAGTCAAACGCTTAAATCCTTTTAGAAAGATAAACACTTTCTACGTAATCGTATAAAGCAAAATGTGAAAAGGCACTTTCTTCCAGACTCTGAACTTCAGAACATGGGAACTTGGTGGGCCAGGCTGCTCTGGGCCACAGCCTCACTCCTTAAACAACAGTCCCACCCGGGCCCCCCTGCATCTGATGGTTTTACAATGCTGAATATTATTAAAGGCAACTGAACGGCACTAAAAGGGTAGATTTCACAACATGGGCAATTGAGCCAATTACTCCAGAGATACCATCACCAGCTTCACAGACTTTTTGTTTCCCTACCTGGACCTTCACACATCTCACATCCATTGTTTAAAGGGGGAAGAGACCCCTCGGGCCAGGGTCACCTGCTTTTCTCATGTGAGAGCGTGTCACTGCCCTGGCGCCCTGCCCCACACACCTGTTTTTATGCCTCCGCACACTAGATGCCAGCGTAAGCTCTACCCCGACCTCCAGCCTGGTCAGCTCCCTGACGCCTGCCGACGACTCCGCACGGCGTTAAACGCGCACCTCGTGCTTCCTGAAGCCGGAGCACGATGCTGCCCTCCCTCCTCCCAGCCCGGCTCTGCAGCATCTCCCGCCCCAGGGACGGCTGGGCACCTGCCCAACGACTCTGCCCCCTACAGGCATCTCCACCCGACCCTGCCGCCTTGGCCCCTTGGCGCCTCCACACCCAACCCTGCTGGCTCTCAGTCACCCTGGGAGCCCCTCACCTCACCTCTGCCCAGGGTAACTCCAGAGCAGCCTCCAAGCTTCCCAGATTCCCTTCCAGTTGCTACAAGCACCCGTGGGCCCAGTGTTCCTCTGTTACCCTCATCCTTCTATGAGCATCCATGGCCCCAGCATTCCTCTGCTATCCCCATCCTTCTTCCGCTGAGCACACCTCACCATGGCCCATAGAGTCTCATGTGATGGGGCTTCTCTCCCCTGTCCTCCTGTCCCAAGCCACACGAACACCTGGGGATTCCACCAACAAGGTGACTTGGCTGGAACCTCTACCTGCTGCGGCTCCCCCCAAGCCAAGCCTTCCTCCCACTTCACATCCCTCTCTCATTTGCTTCTCACATAGGCCTTGGACAGGCAGTGATGCACCAGAGGATAGCTGCTCCCAGTCCACTTCCACCGGTCACCCCGGACACTGCCCCGCTTTCCTTCCATCAATGACCGATGCCAACATGAGCAGCACACTTACTGACATGTTTCCTATCTGTTTCTCTCTACTGAAACGTAGTTCAGGCCTGCTCTGACCCCAGGCCTGGAAGCACGCCTGGCCCCCTGGATACCTCGCATCCTCCTGAAGGCTACACACCGTCTCCTATGAAGCAGCACTGTCATCCAAGCACCCTGACCACCAGACCTTTAGGTTTTTTACAACACGTGTTCTCATTTTAGTAAGAAAGGAAGGAAAGGAGAAAGGAAGATGGTCAGTGTGGGGATAAAACGAGCACAGTCGCAAGGGAGCTCCAAGCCAAGAACCACCCAGAAGCAGGCCGCTGGCAGAGAGCACCTCAGCCATGAAGTTCACACCGTTCGGCATCCACCCCCTAACTTCCCACACTCCCAGTCAACTTACAAGAAACTAAGTAAGTTATAGTGATGATAACACCCCGCCCAGTCTCAACAGGCTGGTGAATCCTACATCACTGAAAAGGTTCAGCCACTCATGGAACAGAGATGGAGTTGGATTTAAGTTTTCAAAGACTCAGACCAAAAAAGGAAACCCCAATCTTCTTGACTATATTCCACTGTGCAAGCCCCAGCTGGCCCCCACCCTGAGCCCCGCATACCTGCGTCCCCAATGAGTCCCGGCTCCATCTCCATGCCCTCCTGCTGCTGGTAGAAGTTTTCATAGAAGTTCTGGGCTGGCGGGATGGGGGGCATCATTCCAGAATGTGGGGAGTCTCCGGGACCGTAGGGCATCATCGGAGGGCCGCCAGGGCCCATGGGCGGGCCAGGGTTCATGCCGGGGCCCATCGGCATATCGGGGTGCATGTCGGGGTGCATGTCCGGGTGCATATCCGGGTGCATGTCAGGGTGCATGTCAGGATGCATTGGTCCCCCCATCGGCCCTGGGGGTCCCATGTTGGGCCCAGGGCCCATTGGCCCAGGGGGTCCTCCGGGTCCAGGGAACCTGGAAGAAACAATGGTGCCTGTGAGAGGGGCTGCAGAGAAAGGGGGGAGCTATAGCCTGAGGAGGGCTCCGACCAGGCTCTAAAGGCTCCAGAGATGCCACGTGATGGCCAGCTGGGCACTCACCTCACACCCAGCTTCTCAGCCAGCTGCCCTGTGGGCCGCACCACAATCTCGAACAAGGAGGGGATCTTCTTATTGTACATGTCCTGCTGCTGCTGCAGCTGCTGCGGGGACAGCGGCTCATGCGCTGGCAGGGGCATCTGAGGGGGTCCAGGGGGCGGAGGCGGGGGTGGG